GTCAAGCACTTTATTCAACTCACCACCTACAAACTCTTCTTTCCAACCTTTGAGGAGATTTCGAAATCAACTTCCTCAAGACTATCCTCAGCCTCCTTGAACCCGGGCCCGGCCTCAAAGTGCCGAAATTCTCCCACTTCAAACCCGCGCACTTATTTCCCGACAAACTATCTTTGCCATCCGAACACCAACCTCCGAACGCAAACTGACGAGGCCCCCTCTTGAGTAGCTCCCGGTCGATCCTTCTAAGAACCGAGTCGTTTTGCTTGAATTTGCGGGCAAAGGGATGATTGCTCGAGACCATTCTTTTGTAGTCTCGGAGGCCGAGGGTGCGCGGGTGTTGTTTCGGGGGATTGTCCCACGATATGTAGTGAAGGTCCGAGTTGACGACAGTCGTGCCCTTGAACTCGTCCGAGTTGCATATGATCGTTTGGAAATAGAACTCGGGGGACGAGACGAAGTTGGTGTAGTAGAGGAGGAGGGTTCGCGGGAGATTGTCCCACCCGACTATCGTGTACTCGGCGAACGATCTCGATAAGACCGTCCATGCGGAGCCTAGGAAAATTAAAACGTAGAAAAATCGTTATTTATATGGGTTGAGTAACGGTGCGGTTAGTTCGGTGCAAAAACTGCATCGATCGAACTTAAAAAAACTGAGAGATCGAAATTGTGAAATTTATAAATCAAGACGCACAAGAGGAACAAAAATAAATATTATTCACGGAAGATTAACCGAACTGAAGAGAACTGAATTGCACGGTCCGACTAGGTTTCTTGGTCGTTTCTTGGTTCGTGCAAAACTTTGCACGAACCGAAAAAAAATAAAAAATCGAATTTGCGGAAAAAAAAAATTGGCAATTGAACTACACGGTGAACACGTAGAAAATGAATCGAAATTGAACCGAAAATTTTCTACACGAAATAACTTAACCAAACCACATTGAATTGCACGATTTCAGCTCAGATATTATTCTCGATTTTGCTCAATCCTATTCCACGAAAAGAAAAAAAATAAATTTTGACACAAATAATAATCGAACCGAAGAGATTATACACTAACCAAACCCAACTGCATCGAGTTGCGCAATTTCAACACGATTTATGCACTACAAAAAAAATTGTTATATTCCAACGGAAAATCCTATGGTAATATATTCCAATGGAAATTCTAACGGATATTCTAATGGTATAGCTTCCGTTGGAATGATTCCAACGGAAATTCCAACGAAAATAATTTGTTGGAATGTATTTTTCATTGGAAATTTAGATGGAATTTTATGATTCCAACGGCTTTTGACCGTAGGAATTTTCGTTGGAATTTTTATTTCCACCACCGTTGGAAAATCTACCGTTGGAATCGTCAAAATCCAACGGATATTTCAATGGAAAACTCATTCCAACGGAATATTTTTGTTGGAATTTCCGTTGGAATAATTTCAACGGAAATAATAGTATTGAAATATCTATTAGAATTGCCGTTAAAATTCTATTGGAATATATTTCCGTTGGAATTTCATTATTATTTTTTAGTGATGATTTTCAACTTGATTTTGCCTATTCCAATTAGACATGGCCAAATGCCGGGCCGAAGGGTTGGGTTAAGTCGACCCTGAACCGGCACGCCCTAAATCCATGCCGGGTCCATGACCCGGCGGGCCGGTCCGGGCTCGACCCGGGTCTGGCCTGCCAAAATTAAAAAAGAAAAAAAAAATAGAAAAATTCAAAAACAACAGGTTTTTTCCATGCCGGACCGAACCCAGCCCGTCGGGTCGATGTCGACAAAATGAAAGCCCTGGACCGGCCCGTTAGCAATTCGAGCCGGGCTGAACCCACGGTCAACGGGTTTGATCGGGCCGGGTCCGTGCCGGGTCGACGGGCCGATTGACCAGGTGGTCATGTCTAATCCCAATGAAGAAAAGTTTATGTATGTATCTATAGGTTATTTGGCCATATTTTTCACGAGATGATACCTAAATTCTCATAGGAACATCTAAAGCAAAACGTCTAGGTACTAAAATGGGTGCTTCCATTGAAAAGGAAAGGCGTAAGACTACTAATGAAAAGTAGGACACTAAAACATGTGCCACTTAACTATGCCCGTTGGAAAGAAATTCCAGTGGATATTAAAATGAAGATGTAGCTAGCATTGAAGGTATTTATAACATGCTATACTATATCTAACTAGAATGCTTTTTCTTTTAGCAACAGTCATCACGAGATAGCCTCCTCACATTCAGTTTTTTAACGATTCATCCTGCATAGGGCTGCAAACGAGTCGAGTCGAGTCGAGCATTGGTCTTATCGAGCAGGATTGAGTTTTTTTTTTAGCTGCTCGAGCTCGAGCTCGAGCTCGTCGAGCTCGATTTTTTAGGCTCGAGCTCGACTCGATAAGAAAGCTCGAGCTCGACTCGAATTCAAAATGCTCGACTCGGCTCGAGTTCGGTTAAAAAAATTTTAAATAATTTTGTCAAATTATATATATAGGAGGGGTATTTTAGTAATTTACCATATATCTCGAGCCGCTCGACAATGTAAAATTTGGGCTCGAGCTCGACTCGAGTTCGTGCTCGAGCCGAGCTTTGACTCGAGCGCTCGCGAGCGGCTCGTGAGCAGCCCCTGCATTATGGGTGTCTAAGACTAATTTACATAAATTAGGCATCGAAATTAGGACACGATTATGCTGCTTTATCCAGAATTATTGAGCCACCACATTTATGATAAAGAACAAACATATTTGATTATTATATGAACTGGGTTCTTAAACTGAACTAGGTTCACAATTGAAGCAAGTTTGGAATCTCATGTCGGTAGCATATTGATCCTTTATGCAGTTTGAATATCATATTTAGTTGGAAGTGAAATATTGTGAACTCTTTTGTGATTTGCATTGGTTTCTATGATGATAATGTTGTAATCACAAGTCTTTTTTCTTATATTTAGGTGTCAAGACCATTCTCATGAAGAAGTTGATATCCAATGAAGATCTTATCATCTTTAGCTCATGAACTTTACTTATTTTTCAATCATTAAGATTTTATTTGTGTATATGTTGGATTGTTTTCATCTATGAACTCTCTTTATATTAGAAATTTGTTTTAATATTGCATTAAGTCGGAGATTTGTGCCAATAAGATTGCTCTATTTGGACTTGTCATAAATTTTTGGGTTTAGGATATGCAATGTACACATATATTGAACAAGTGTAAAGAAAACAGGAAAAGGAAAAAATGTGCAAATTTTGAAAAACGTGCCATCATTGATTTATAATAACTATATTTTGCGATGACTAATAGAAAATTTAGTGACAAACATTACATTATGGCTAATTTTTTTTATTTTAGTGATAAAAGTTGGTAACTAAACAAGACTTGTACGTCACTATTTTATTACATTCTGGTGACAATAATTAAATGTAACTAAACTACAAAGTTTGGTGATGATTAAGTTTATCACTAAAATTTCTAGTGACAATAATTAAATGTAATTAAACTACGAACTTTAGTGATGATTGAGTTTATCACTAAAGCTTGACATTATAGTGACGTCAATTATATGTGACTATAACATAAAGTTACAGTGACATAGTTGTGCGTCACTAAAACAACAAGTTATAGTGACGAAAAAAATATATGTGACTATATCATCGAGGTTTTGTGACCAAGATTTTATGTGACTAAATCATAGATCACTAGTTATAAAAAATTTATGTCACTAAAAGCTTATAGTTAGTGATAATTACAAAAAATTGTCACTAAAACTTTTAGTGACACTACCTATAGTGGCGACCACTTATTTTGTCACTAACTAATAATAGTGACAACAATTGTAGATATAGTGACAAAAAAAATATCACTAGAACTCTATTTTCTTGTAGTGCAAATAAGGATAAGGGAATATATATTAAAAATAATGTTGCTTAAAAGAAAAAAGAAAAAGGAAAAAACCTAAACCTGTGTAAAGCTTGAAAGCAGTAGGCAGTTCTCTTTGTTTAAGTACCCAAAAGATCTGAGATTTCTTTGCTCTGTACAAGCCAGGGTCGATCAGGATTGGCTTTGCCCTTTTGTTACTGCATACATTAGTAAAAAACAAATTAAATTAGATTTTTCGAGCAATATTATGCACTAAAAGGAAAAGAAAGAAAAAAAGAAAAAAGGAAGACTTTTTTTTTCGTTAGACCTAACTGTTAGGTGTCCATAATTAATCAACAAAATGACTGATGTAGGGTACGAGTGGTAAGGATAAACGATATATTTCTCGATAAAACTCACAATATTAAATTTATTCTCAAAATTCACCCCTTAATAACAAAGAAGAATGAGTCTTTAAATAAGACTATTAAAGCCCTAAACCAATCTTGTCAACCAAGTCACTAAGTATTAAATAATGATATTAAATGCTAATAATAATAATAAGAATAACTAGTAATTAACCTGTGCATTTACACAGAGACAAATACTTTGAAAAGATAAAAATTTAAAAAAAATAAAAATAAATCATAATTTAATTCATTAAAAAAAATATGAATTGAGAAAATAATTTTCAAAATTGATTTTGATAAAGTAATTGCTATGGAAGAGCCGTTACAACTATTTTCTTTAAGCTAATACATCCGACCATTTTCATGAGTGAGTGTAACTTAAAATTTGAGTACAATTTTGTAACTCCCTTAATTGGTTTATGCTCATAATTTATGGCATTCAAGTAAATTATTTTGTAAATTAAAAATGAAATTGAATATTGAAAATTATGGAGGGAGAATAAAATTTAATGCATGGTAATAAAATTAAATATTTTGTTACTCCTCTTTATATATATGTAGATACTAAAACCTTAAACTAATGCCTATCCGTATGAATGTGCATGATTTTAAATCAGATATCATCCTACTTTAGAAAAGAACACATACAAACAAAAGTATTGCATGTTAAGGGAAAATTGGTAAGCAAAGTATACCATCTTTTCGTTTTTGTTACCCAGAGTTTTCAGCTTAATCAACTTTGGGCACTTACATTTTTAAAATTAATCGTTTTTTGTATAGACATTAAAATTGATGGTCGCCGTACGATATAATTCGCAGATTTCAACAAATTATACCCCAATTTGAAGATCTCGACTCAACCTATCCAACGGTACCTTTTATTTTATCATATGATATCTCGAGTCAAAATCATCGTTAAAGGTTCCAGAACGTGGCTAAAATGTAGCTCAAAGTTTGACCAAGTGCTACCAAAGATTTTTATAGAAAACCAATTTCTTGAAAAATACAAAAATATATCCCAATCGCAAATCTGAGTCCCTCGGAAAACTGAAAATTTCTTCGGCTTATATCTGGAGATCGATGGACTCGGTTGATGATCGGGATACACTATTGGGTTCCTCCAAATAAATAAAAAAAAAAAAATCCGTTGTTCGGTTAGATTTCCATAATTTATCAACATAATACACATAATTTTAAATCAAAATGTCATCCTACTTTAGAAAACACAACAGGCAAAAGTATTGCATCTTCACTGTACAGTGTACTTATATTTTTGAAAAAGAAAAAGGTATGATCAGTCAGCTGCCTAACCTCATACTCACACAATAATTTGCAGTAAAAAAAGGAACGAACAAGAGTACAAGACAAGATTCAGTAGATCCACTGTACACAGTACACAAAAATTACCAAGTTCTGGAAATTTCAATTTTGATCAAATCATATCATATTACATAATAACAGTATTAAAACACAATCAGACAAATTAAGAAGCTCTTAGTTCTTACAGCTTCCATCCCAGGTGACTGTTGTGCTGCACAAAGTTCATATCCTTGGGCAATTCCGAAAACGCATCTATCAGATCTGCACACATTTCCAGCAAAAGTAACTGTTAGGCAAGTCTAACGGTTAGACAAACAACGCGTCTCACATTCAGACTCACCGTACCATCTTGAGTGACCAAAGGGTAATCGGCTGCGCTGAGGTTCACGAACCAATCCCAGTCGCCGGCGAGCCTCAGGAGGGCCGCAATCCCGTGCAGCGTCGCCGCCAGCATTGTGGGACCGCGGTAAGTTACCAAACTGGGCTTCCCCACGACCCACACGTTCCCCACGCGCGCGAACACCGAGTGGTTCGACACGAATTTCGAGATCTCGCGGTGCTCCGCTTCCGGCGCGGCGGCGTCCACGTGGACGAGGTAGTAGTTCGCTGGGTGGTAGAGGGCCAGGAGGAGCCGCTTGAGGCGGACCGTGTCGCCGGAGGAGGCGGATATGAGGTAGGCGAACGTGGCCTTGTACGGGCGGCGGGTGTGGGCGGAGGCGGAGGTGGTGGTGGGGCGGAGGGCGGCGAGTGGGTTGGTGTAGATTAAATTGACTAAGAAATATTTACAATGTTCGGTGGCATACTAGCCAATATATACCAAGAGGTCGTACAATGAGGATCATCTAAGGATGTCCTAAATCAAAGACAAAGCAAATCCAATTAAAAGCGGCAGAGACAATGCTATTGGGACCGCTTTTAACCAACCTCCAAGAGCAAAACAAAAAGACATCAGAAAAAAGACAACCTACAGAAACAGCAAGACTAAACCAAAATACACAAAATAAAATACACAAAAGAGTATAGAAAACCATCTCAGAGCCCCATATACCCAGAAATAACAGCTATCAATGAACAATGAAAGCTTGAAGTCATCTTCTTCAGGTAGCACTTCTTCTGCAGCCTGCTGCTACTTCCACAACTCACAAGAGATGTTTGTACCAGACCACAGACAAGTAAGAACTGCTATTTCATTTTATCCTTTACCAGCTCAAATCAGAAGAAGGCCACAGAGAGAATTGAGACAGATCAGGAAGAGAAACATAAGAAATCATAAAAAAACATCCACCAAACAAGGTAGTTAGAATTCCAGCCACTGAACTCTGAAGGGACCTAGCTGTTCATCAAGCTACCTTGTTTTAACACCCCCGATATTCCTGCCATTCAGCCAGAACAATGTTCACCGCATCCTTTACAGGCCTCATGGTGTTTTCAAATACCCATTGGTTCCTCGATTTCCAGATCCCCCATAAGATGTACAGAGTTAATTGAATTCTAGAATCCGAGGATGCGCTGTGATTTAATGAACAGATTCTATTCCACCAACCCTTAAAGCTCAAAGTTTAATTTTCCAGCCCTTCCCAAGAAATCGGTGACTGCTTCCAAATATCCTTGGATCTATTACAATGGAAGAACAATTGTTCTAAGAATTCAGCAACTTCACCACAGATTTTGCAAATGTGATCGATTTGAATGCCTTTCTTTATGAGATTACAGTTGACAGGGATGAAGTTTGAGTAGCACCTCCAGAGAAAATGCTTCAGTTTCCCTTTGACCTTGAGTGACCAGCTCCTTTTCCTCACTTTCCTGCTCTCCTGCTGTTCTGTACTACTTTCCGGTTGATCCAGTTGTCTCCATTTCTCCCATACTAGCTTGTTGATTTAGATTCATGAAAAGTACAATTTTCCCACATTATTAAATTTAATGAAACTACAAAAAGAAAAAAAAAAGATTAGTGTCAAGTTTGGTAGTTAAAAATATGAGAGGTGATAAATAGTGATGTTTATGAAAAATTGTTAGTAATTATTGGTTGATAATATTTAATTATATTAATAATATTAAGGAAACTTATATTATATTGAATTATGAGTTAAAAAATTGTATTTGATTGTAGTTCTGAAAAATAAAATACATCTAGCACTCAAAAAAAAAAAATTAAAAATAAAAAATGTATTCAATTGTTACTTTTAAATTACATTAATTTTAATCAAGGTAATTTAATTCATACTCATTAGCAAACTCAAAATCAAATACATATTTCCATTCGGTCTATCTTTTTCAATCTTAACTCACTTTTAAGAAAAAAAAAAATACCCAAAAATTTTATATCCTAATTTCGAATATTCGGATTCAAACTTGGCCGGATTTGTAGATAGCATAATTTTACAGTTGGTGACGCTGATTTTTGGTTAACCTCCCTATTATGAACTTATATTTTTTCAACACATGTTACATATTTTCTAATTAAAATATCATATTTTAATAAACAACATGAATAAAATTATATCATTTTTTACCGTATTATGCATTTTTTTAGCCTGACTCACACAATAAATTCTACGTTTGATTTGATTTTTCATTTAAACATGATCACAAAACTGGCTCGGTCAAACCCATTGACCGTAGACCAAGAACATGACTCGGTCAAACTCGTTGACTTTTTTTTAATAAGTCGGTTTGGAACTACAAACCGGCCCATATATATTTTCGAACCGGTTTGAGGTTCACATTCTGTTTTCATTACTTTTTAAACATGTGCAAATGGAGATCTTTGTTAGCTTCCTTTCTTGGAAATGAAGGGCTCCAAGAAAAAGCGCCAGCTGTCATTTTCTAATTTGTCCTTGTGTTACTTTCCTATTCACGCTTATTGTTTGTTGGAAAATCATTTGTCGAATGAGGTGATTACTAAAAAAAATTGGAGTTTAGTGTTGACAATTAACTGTTATTTGTTGCCTTTGGTGAGCTCAAATGTACAAACTTTGTCCACAATGAAGTATATATTATTGTTTAAGAAAGGTGGATAAATAACAGACTTATACAAAACTCAATGTCATGTACGTTGAGCCGAGTCGAGCTTTTCATACTTGAGCTTAGACTTGTTAACTAAATTGGCTTCAGCTTGGCTCGTTGACTCGAGCCGATCATAATTTAACGAGTTGAGGTAAATAAAAAATTTAGAAAGTTTTATAAAAATATCTATTTTTGAGCCTTAATAGAGCCTAGCTCGACTCGACTTTTGAACTAAACGAACACAAACTTGATTTATTTATCAAATGTGTGGAATCAAACTCAAGATTCATTCCGTTTTACAATTCTTCTTTTAGTTGAGTCAACTTATTGTGTTGAGACACTTATATCAGAGATCAACCACGAGTTATGATGAGGTTAGCACATTTCAGATCTAAAATAAAAATAAATTCATTTAATGTTATATCAACTTCATTAAATGTTCTCATGATGTGCAAGGTTCCACATACTGAGGCCCATGTAATGAAAATTGGTGTTTTTTTTGTACCAACTAAAAAATAAAAAATATAAAATAAATAAAATAAAAATTGATTTTTTCGCGTGCAGCACAAAAAGCCACGTGTCCTATCCCTTTTCTGAGTGGATAGTTGATTGCCAGCTTAAAAATTTGTTCAAGACAGATATGATTGTTGCTTACTGATTGGGCCTCGACTAACCTGTCTGTACGGGGTATAACCGGCGTGTATGTAGTTGGGCCTCAGTGTTGTTTTTTTTTTTTTTTTANTTTATGTTTGTTTGGGAGTTGGGCCTCAGAGTTTCCCTTCCCTTTCATATCAAAGTGTTGACGCTACAAAATTGACACGATACATTTTGACCAATAACTTGTGCATATCCTATCCAGTAGAAAGATTGATGTTTTTAAATAAAATATCGTGCGATGTGGATAATTTTATCATAGTCATCATTTTGTTCACATAAATCCACTAAAAAGATCTAAATTTTATACAGTATTGAAGACATTCATATACCAAACGTTTCGTTTTGATTATCAGAAAAGTTTACATCCCCCATGTATAGATATTCTCAAGTTACATAAAGTAGTGATCCTAAAAGTAGTCTCTTCTAACTCATCGTGACTGAAAATTCGTCGTGACATATGATTTTCCAAAATTTTACCTGGATTGCCTGCAATAACACCATGTGATTTGATGATTTTTTATTATTATTTAATATTATGATTATTATCATATATAAATTATCTATGATATATATTTTCGTGATTTAGACTTCAAATAGAAAAATATGATGTATTTATGAATATATTCCAATTGTTAAATGATACTAAATATTTGCAATTTTGTAATAATAAAAGCAAATTTTTGGCAATATGATTTAATAGATATTCATTGGCCGAGCATTCAATACTAATCAAATGGTTGATTTTTATTTGCAATATTTTTGGAGCCAAAATAAG